GTGAAAACACATCCTCGCAAACACCGCACTCCAACACCTTGAGAAAATTAAATAATTTTTTAATACAATGTTTTGCTTGAAAAGTGTGTGCTTGCTTTAAAATTACTCACGTGGTTTGATATTTGTTGTCTAATGGAATAATTTGCATATATTTACATGTGCCTTGTGTGTCAGTTTTTTTTTTTGGAATTAAACTAAATATGAATATTTTAATAAATATTGAATAGATATTTTAAATAACCAAGATTTAAATTAATATTTACAATTTAGCACTAATTAAACACCCCGCTATAGTTTGGCATGAAAAGTGAATCTATACTTCAGTAAATTACAATCATGTCCAGTCCAATGTTATTATGCAGCAGCATACACGTCGGTTATACATGAATACGCCTTGAGCACAACTCATTCAACCATAATTTCATAACAACAGCTTTTCAATTTCTCAAAAAGTGTATAATTTGAGCCTAAATAGGCACCTTAGGTTTGGAGACACAGCCTCCCTTCTAGTACTCAGACCAGTTGAACATTTAGCTAACCAGCTAACTCACTCACTCAGTGCCATTACTGTCAAAGCTGTGCATTTATCAACACAACACAATATTCCATAACGCTTGATGTTTAATAAATGCCATAGGTTTATATATGAGTGTGTAACAGTGTTTAACATAAAGAACGCAGTGACAGTGTTGAATGTTGCTATCATTAGCGTGCTAACACCCTGCAGCAGCTCATTGAACTCCAGCAGGACAAAAATACTATCCACCACATGGTTTTTATGAGCTTAACCTCTAGTGCAGTGATTATTTATGTGATATGCGCCATACCTTCACCGCATTAGCGGCTGTAGCGCGGCCGTGTCTCACACACACATCCATCGCCGCTGCGCTCGCCTGCTTATTTACCCCGACAGCAGCGGCCATCCTCGGACTGAACCATCTGGTGACACGGCGGTGTGAACTTGACACGCTTCTGTTACACACGCACAAGCTGTCAAATAGTAAATGAAAGATATAAGAAGGACAAGTTATTTTGTTAAAAATGTCCTATTATAAAGTGGAATCACGGATATTTATTGTATGTCTGAATGAAGTTATTCCAATCGCTCACAT